ATAGACAAAGGTGAGGAATAATATTCCAGTGATGAGGGTATCGGTCTTTCTCTGGTTGTATGTTTGGAGTTATCTTGCAGATAAGAGGGACGGCTGTGAATGTGTGATGATTAATGAGACTGGTTCTGTCTGAAGCAGCTTTAACATGTGTGGCTGGGAGTCATGAAGGAGGCCTCATATCTTGTCTTTTTAAGACCCACACAAAGTCAAAATAAGCAAAAGGTTTCACCATGGGATTTGGTTTGATCCCTGAAGGGGAAACAAGAGTCCTCAGCCCTTTTATGCAGGAGATCTCTGGTGAGATGGCAATGAAACGGTACTTCATCGCCTGATACAGTCAAAGTGTCCATTTACTCAGCCATTTCTCATTTCTATGTACACAGTTGCAGAGACAGAAATGGTGTTCCTGTCAGATTTTCCATTTACGGATTTAGTTATTACAACCTGTCTATTGCGTAGAAGGACACATAAAACATACCGGTGTTAGATAGGTGCATTTGAAAGCCCATGGATATCCCACAGCACTGCACACACACGTCTCATCCCTCATGCTGTTTCAGGTTTTGGAGCCAAATGGTTTATTACCTGAAAAAGCATAAACAAGAACATACTGAAGAACAGAGAGGCTTGGATTACAACACACTCAGACTGAAAGCAGGCATTCTGTTACACGGTTTTATATCTTCCGTTTTTTTTTATTATCCTTTATTGGGATAAGGTGTTATCAGAAGTGCTCCAGCAAATTAACAAGAAACATCATGTAGAAAACAAACCCCCAACTGTGTGTACCGCTCAGTTTACGAAATTGGTATCACACTGATGGGAAAAAGACTACATTAAAGTGTGTCAAATAAAGTAAAATGTACATGTTTGGCAAAAAATGTACAGCTCCCTTCTCACAACAAAGACTCCCCTGCTGATGTTCCCACTCTGAATTGGATGTCCCGTGCCAATTGGCACTGTTGAAGAGAGCACACATTTTATGAAAATTGACTGGTTATTGGTATCAAACCCCTTTCCATTCAAGAGCCGTTTCAAATACCATCATAAGCTTTCTTCCTGTCCTCTCGCTTTTCTCCAGCAATTTCATGGATAACTCCTTTTTCTACTTTTCTACTTTTTCCAGTTGTTTAATTACACTTCCACCGGCTCATTAGTACGTGGTTGGAATTAATGTACAGGGTTAGGTTTATATTTTCAACACATGTTGATAGAGTTGGAAAATAAAACACTGTTTCAGTCTTCCTCACAAATAAGGCAGCACTGCCTCCCGAAAATCCAGATGTTATCTCACAGTTATTTATTCTTGGTTGCTGTGCTAATGGTATTTGGTCGCTCAGTTTTTTTTGCATAGAAAATAAAGAGTTTCAATCAGGAGCAACACTGGGCTAAGTTGTATAATTTGTGTTTCTCAAACATCAATTGTGTAACTTTGTGTAGCTTTGATAACTAAAAACACAAGTGAAAATAGAAGGTGCGGGTCATTCAGCCTCCAATCTCCCCTCGCTTTCTCTCTGTGTCAGACTGCCACTGCAAATACAGCCAAACACGACCCCATGTGTTTATGAAGAACATATCAGAGACTTTGCATTTTAAATCTGCAGAAAAAAAATGTGTTGATCCAAGTGCAAATTCAGTCCAAGCCAGGTTTTGCGAAAGTATCTTCACATCTTTAGTCGTATCTTCTCTGTTCTGTCGCTCTATAGTTTTTTCTTGACTTGAAGCGCTGAAATGAAAAGGGAATAAAGGAGAACAAAGCGATGTCCAGTGCACATTAGCTCCCAGCCCCACTGAGGGCGCTGAAGACTCACCCCGGCGTGGATGAACACTCTCCCAAGTTATGTATGTGCAGTCCATGTGAATGTAGCTGTGATTACTCAAGTGTTCAGTATGTGTGCGTGGAGGTGTCGGATACTTGCCCAAACAAACACGCGCCACACACATAGCCCACAGGAGTTAATAGGTCACGCTCGCTGGAGGAGTTTAGGTTTCAAAATTGAGAAATGATTTGATTATAAAAATGCGTTTGGCCGTGTATTCTTCAGCGGCTCGTGCCAGCCCGCTGCGCCGGTCTGCCAGCAGAAGCCCAGCAGCCCCGCAGTTTCTGTGGGTGTGTGAGGGCGAACATACGATCCTGTGGACTGAAAAGGAGAAAGAAAACAAGGCGAGGAGGTGAGGTTGAAAAATTGAGAAGGTGTTCGCTGTGTGAGTGTGTGCACGCATGTGAGTGTCTGTTGTGTGTTTGTGCATTCCTGAGAGGACCCTCAGTGGATCAAAGCTGCTGACACCCTAGGCACTGTCCTCCTGAGGGAGCCAGCTGTCAGAGCTGGGATCAGAGATCAGCGCCGTATGTCCTCCCTCCTCTTCGCCCACCGTGGGGTCTGTCACAGCAAGTTAGCACTTCGCCAACGGCACTGATCAACCATCAGATTAGGCTCTGCGCAAATAATAGCGGTGACGTCTGGCAGCGAGAATGGAAATGTTCAAAGAGAGAGGAGCCTCACAAGGAGGGCCATTGTTTCCTATTTTCACCATTAAAGGAGAATTTCAGTTTACTCCAGCTTTTGTAATCCTATTGAGCACGAAAGACATGGTCCATCAGAAAGGCTGTAAACAAGCTGACAAGTCAGCCAGACTTTCCCAACTTGAACAAGTTTTCCTTCCAAATGTTTTCATCTCTAAGTCTATTTTTCTTTGCTTGCTTTAGAGCACCTTGGAAACATTAGAGCAGGAAAAAAAGCCTGTTACCCCAGAAATTACAACAAAAACTTATCAAATAGTTGTACAATAGTTCTGTAGCAGTAAAACTACATAAGATTTTTTTTATTATGTTGCTAATTAATGTCTTCAACTTTAGAAACAGGTGATGTATTACCAACTTTTTATGGAAAACGGAATGTAAAAAGAGTTTCCTTGTATCTATTTTGTATTTTATATCTGGGTGATGCAAATTTTGATTTTCTTGAATTCAGAACGGACTAAATTCTGTGAATATAATCCTAACATCAGAGCATTTTTAGTCTGCAAAAAGCTAAAAGCGCAAACTAGTAGTATATGATCAACATGTCAGTTTGATATTTTGAAACATGATTTTAAGGTAATTGTTCGTAAGCATTTCTCTTTTCAATTAGTGTGTCCATCACCACAGCAAGTGTTATGTAATAGCTAAATCATTCTATAAGCTCTTATGGTTAAAAGTTTATGTTCTGCCTTTTTTAGATCGAAAATGACTAATCGTCACTTTGTCTTGCCATTATTTCTTCTTTATAGAAATTGTAAAGTTAATTTGAATGATTATCCACCACTTTTACAAATTGAGCAAAACAATTAGTAAAGAAAAAGTACAAATTAATATCATATTCATCAATACCTGTTGATATATTCTCTTTTGTTCATAAAACTGAGGCAGAAAGGCTGTGAGAAACTATTCTAATGCTTTAAAGAAGCCGACTCAGGGAGAAAATGTTTAGGCAGACTGACAATTGGCACCCAAATCTTAATATAAGCAAGATGAGGCATTCCAAATGTGCCATATAAAACACTCTACCGGTGGTAAAATTGTTCAGTCCAGTTGCATTGGTCATTAGCTGTGCACATGTGTGCTGCTGGGATTATGTGCGGCCCCTGACTCTGTGCCGGGGCTCCGGTCAGACCACCCTCCGTCCATTTGCTGCCAGCTCTCGCTTGGCAGGGGCTTTAAAACCCATCTTTACCTCCACAGTGGTCAATAGAGTCAACAGTTCCATCAGACCGCATGTATACGCTGAGCAGATGAATCAGTGTGACTGGATCTGGATTGCACAACCTGCATCTGTGTGCAACGCAGGTTGTGCAAACTGCGTGTGCAGCTGCTGCAGAAAGGTTCTAATCATGCTTTCCTCTAGTTTAGGTTTTACTCTCCCAAGACCGTCCTGTCTCTGTGGATGCAAATGGTTGGTAGACATGGCAAAAAAGGATCAATCCCTCCATCTGCTGCCCTTATATGATGGCAACCACTCCTTCTATAGTAGTCACGAAATGACAAAAAAACTGACTAAATATTTGGGGCCTCAAATCTGTTCTGGCCATGTCAAAGATAAATAGTTTATTAAATGTAGTACATTAAAAACAAGCTAAGCTGAATGAGGGAATAATCACAAAGTGATTTGAAATATGTTCCTACCCAATCACACATTAATTCCATAATTCACAGTTAATAAATAAATCGTCTTTTATTTGAGTTCAATTCTCAGTATTCATGCAGCTGTTGGTTATGTAAAAAACGAAGTTTGGAAAAAAAAACGCTTACTGTCAAAATGATAAGCAGTGCTCGAAAAGTCGATGTAGAAAAATGAAAGGTGACATCATTTGTAGCTGTATAAATAGACATTTTGAAATACAGGCAGGAGTATTTACAGCACAAATCCAGGTGTTCCCTGAATGTACAGAGTGCTTTCCAGCCAGCTTGGGTGCTCACAACATAACTCTGCAGGCACATTCCTCTGCACACCACCAGCTCTTTCACAAAACAACCGCATCCCAGATGACTCAGTGCACTGAGTGAGAAACCTGGTTCCTCAGCAAGATGGCAAAAACACCAAAATATTTTAACTGAGGGATGTCACCATTATATATTTGACACATAACACTCAGCAATATTTTTTTTAAATCTACCCACCAACATGTTATTGGAAATAGACAGAAATCTGAGACAAATATCTAATCTCGTCATCATGACAACATATCATAGATGTAGCGTGAGCGAGTAAAGACCTGACGTTACACATAATGGATGTTTTACTGATGTTTTACAGCTTTGTTGCAGCAGTGTTAACTCCATCTCCCCTCTGCCCTTTTCCACCTTGCTCTAAAAGCTCCTCAGAGCCTTCACTTGAGAAGTTTAAAACTAAAGACCGGTCCTCCTCCTCCTCCTCCTCCTCCTCTTCCATCGCACACACTCACACTGAAAGTTTTTTGTCTCTGCCCTCCCTCCATCTCTCGTTCTGCTCCCTCCTCTCAGCTCGAAGCTATAAGAGCCATGTTGGAGCGCGCACACACACACACAAAATCCCGCTGCCCACATGCACGCACACACTTGCTGCACATGCATCGAGTGGAGCACAGTCGCAGTGCTGCACAGCGGTGAGGCAAGGCAGGGAAGAAAGGGCATTTACTCCCCGTCTCCTCAGCTAAAGGAAAGCAACAGCGTGGAGAAGTTGCATGAAAGAGAGGTCTCAGCTGAGAACTTTTTTTTTCTTTACATCAAACTATGGAAGCCAAGAAGTGGAGATAAAGGAGAGGACAAACTAACAGCTGGCTGAAGGGGAAACTTTTATCTGAGGAATTACTGGACACTTCATGTATGACTTCTTGTCATGGTGTTGTCCTACATTGTCATCTCTCGTTGACAGGAGCCTCTGTAATTTGAATATTCCACGGATCAAAGTTTGGTTTCTGAGCAGTTTGTGTGAATGAAGCGCCTGGAAGCAGGAAACATGTCAAACGGACGTTTCAGTCACCTGTTGAGAGAGCTCTGGCTGCTATGGCAAGGTGAGTTCAGGCACTAACTCCTATCCAACTAACTGGCGCAAAGTTTTATTCAGATGGGGAAAAAATCCAATACAGTCAAATCTAACCCTTGTTGGTTAAAGCGAATTTCCATGCACTAATAAATTAGCCATCAGGGTCAGATCCTGAAAGTCAAGAAGATTTTCTACTATCAAAATAAAGAGATAAACGCTCTCTCATTTGAGAAGTCGGCTGAAAACTTAGGATTTGTGTATCTTGCAAGACACATGGCAGGATCAATACGGAAAAAATTATAACAGACAAACTCTTACAAGGAAGTGATTATGTAATTTGTCACAATTTACAGAAGCCAGTCTGTGTTCTTTCTCTGCTCCTGTGTGTCTTCACAATCTGACTCCTCACACCGGGATGAGTTACCAAAGGCATGGCTCCAGCAGTTGCCTTTAGACAAAAGTTCCCTGGGAGCATGGACCCACAGCCCTGGAACTAATGTTGTTATTATGTTAATGGTTAGAATAACAGGAGACAGCCATTACTGACACAGCCCCAGGGCCGCCGCGTCCAGCCGTCACAGCCTCAATTATGGAAGCAAAGGTTGTTTGAGTAAGTCATGGCGATGGGTGGCGGGAGACGGACGTCAGGCAGCATCCGTCCAGCTCTGACCATCCCTCGGCAGATGGGTGTCACTCTGTTCCCTCCATCCCTTCGTCCTTCAGTGGTAGATTAGTTTCTTTCCCTTGTTTTCTGGTCAAGTTTAGCCAAAAAGCAGGGTGAGGTTGAGTCGCTGGCTCCAGGCAAACACTTTAAACAGTCTTAAACGCGTCGCTGATATGTGAAACAGAGATATTTGGACAGGATCCGTTTTGACAGGTGCAAGGTCATTTCTGTGAGAGAAAGTTTTCTAGTTCAAGTGCCTTTCTCTGAAATTTTCCTGTTGAAGTTCTTCCGCTTCTTGATCGGTACACCGCATCAAATTTGTCGGATCAGAAAATGTAAAAGATCTACACTTCATCTTCTTTAACCGCGGATGGACTTTTTGATTTTGTTTAGAAAAATAAAGTCAGGTCTCAAAAATTGTGTTAACTTGTCTTTATATTAAAGGCAATCCAATACAATTTCATTTCCAAAACATCAGTGGACCATCAACTTCCCCTGTCTCCTATCTGTATTTTGCCTGCGTCAGCTCTCCACAAAAAGGAGACACACGAATGGCTATCAGGTGCTTTGATAATTCAGGATCCCCATTGTTTGAAGCCAGCTCCGAAAGTCAAGGATGTTGGATTTAAATTACAGCAGATATTGTTTAGAAAATGTTGAAGTGAGTGGATTTGTTGGCTTGAGGAGGTAGCTCTTTTATTAAGCGGGACGAATTCTGTGTGTTGTGTCTTTGTGAGCGCGAGCCAGGGCTTGTTAACCGCAGTGGAACTGGCAGGCAGAGTCCGGTGGGCAAGCCCCTTTAGATCTCTTGTCTAAATAAACGAGGCCGCCGGATTAAGCAGCTTACGCCGTGATGAAAAGACAACAGTAGTCGTCCTTGCGTTGTCCCGGGGACGGGTTGATACCGCTGGCCTGGAGGGCTGCAATGAGATGCTGGGCTTGAAGCAGAAATAAAAATAAGGGGGGAGAGGTGGGGGCTCAGGGTTAGAATAACACAACAGACCTCATGTTCTTTAAATCATCCTGACCTTCGCCTGACTGTGGCGACAAGGGTGGAGGGGAGGGAGGCTACTGGTGCACGACAGACTATGCTGAGTGAAATATCTTCGCATGGTACCTTCCTCTCAGCCCGTGAGAGCCCTGGGTAGTAACACAATGTTTATAGTGTAAAAGCACAATTACAAATGCAGCAATTACTTGTTTGAATCCAAGGATTCCTCTTTGAATCAACATTTGTAGAAGTTGACGCCTCATAATTACAGACTGTGGCTTTTCATGATTGTCCTTTACACAAATAATCATGTTTAACAGGGTTTAATACACCAGTAGTGGCTTAAGTCAATCATCTACCCGTAGTTTGTTAATAAAGTAATGCAGGAGCTTCTGAAATTAAAAGTAAGCCAGAAAAAAAATATAAAACCATTTCAGAGACCAAGGTCATGGCTGCAGTTAAGATGTGGGAATTTGTTTCAACACATAATAAACAAGAATTGGTCACAAAAGCAAAGTGGGGTACTCTTTACAGATTGGAAGTTTTTATCATTGTTTTTTCAGTGTAGTTTTCTGTTACAAAATATGTTTTTTAGAAATAAAATTTGATCCGTATTAGAATAAGATGATATCATATTTTAACTATACGCATGTGAATCGGTGATTCTGAACCAAAAGAACATGGGCCAACTAGTTGTGTACTGATACTTTAACAGGGCTCTCCTGTATTGTAAGGAATTGCAAATTATATCTGTCTAACATCGTACACGTTTCTTTTGTCGCCAAAACCAAACTTTACAATTCCAAAATGAAAATGCGGATTACATTTCAAATATTTCTGAGATCTCACATCTCTGAGACAAAGATTGAACTGCAAATTCTGATTTTGTTTCTCAAATAAGGTGCGTAATCATGTCACCATAGAAAGTGGATTAAACTATTCCTGCACGCCATCCATCATAGTTGAGGCACTGTTACCTTGTGTATCTCAGAGGTATGAAATTTTACCATGCATATCTGTGCTTTACAGAAACATGAAATGGTTTGTTCTCTCGCGAATTTCTTGTTTTGAAATGGTGAAAAACTTTAGGATGTTTTATTTGAGGAGATCACAAAAACAGAGGATTTTGTCAGGATCATGACTTTCAGCTGCTGAAATGGTTTGAATTTGGAGCACAGACAGCGGAATATACACGTATGTCATCATGGTGATCAATTTTCCATTATGTGCAGGACCTTTAAGAAATGATTTCTTCCTGAAGATATAACTTTTCTTCTCACTCAGTGTTTGGTTCTGTGAAACTTACTCTTATATTTAGGTCAGACCAGCATGTGCCCCCCTGACAACATTGAACACATTTAAAAAACATTTTACTGCACAGTCAGTCAAGACCCAAATGCAAAAAACACAAACCCGATGCAGTTCTTAGCAGTGACAAGGAAACATTTTCAAGTTGTGTCCATGAAAACAAAAAGGCATACTGAATAAAGTAGCTTTACTATAAGCTCAGGCAGTTTAATGGACTAATTTATCTATATCTGGTCTCCTTTTAAGGTTAATACTGGACTCAACATTCACTAGGTTAGCTTCAAAGTGAGCCTAAGCATCCAGCACTATGATTAACTACCTCTCTTGTGGTTATCAACTAATATCTTACAACGGCCTGTTTATCTTGTATTTGAAACTGGTTAACAAACACTAGTTTTGCCAAGTAAAATAACACTGGTTTTCTAATCGCTCAGTAATTAATGACTCGTAGAAATCCTGTGATCGGCATTTGATATGAACAGATTTGCTGTGAACTTATCCTGCCTCAACGGACAAATAGCATAAATCAACACGTCAGATAATTAGGCTGACTTCTTGCAAAATTGTGCAGTACTTGATTAACGATTCTTTTAAAGAAAATATACTTCTTAGGAACCTGTTTCTGGTGACGATCAGTGGCCATCAGACATTGTTTAACTGTAAGGTGCAACGAGTCTAAAAGGTTTGGAATTATTGACTTATAGCGCCAGTCCAAAGTCACGGGCAGCTCAGCAGCTCAGAGAGCCTAAAAAAGCATCTGAGAACTGTGAATAATGAGACGCACTCAACTAAGTATGTGAAACGAGGGGAGGGGGTGAGGGGGGTGTCTCTGGGCTACTGTAGCATTTAATCCTTCTGTTGAGAAAAACACACATGCACCTCACTAATCATGCCCTTCCAGAGCATGAAAACGTCTCACCACTCCTTAAAAACACTCCTTCTGCTCCTGACCAACTTCATTCACCTCATCAATGTCTGACTGACACTGAGAGGCAGGAGGGAATTAAAAAAAAGAAATTAAACAAAGACATGAAAGGAAGGAATCAACTGTCCATCAAGGAGAAATGAGGCGTACACATTGTTGCTTTTTCATCAGCAAGAGGTGGTGAAGAAATTATTGGGAGGGGGCCCGAACAACTGGGAGGGTCTTGTACTGAAGAGGGGGATTCTCATGACACAAATGGCTTCACATTGTGGAAAAAAGGATTGGATGAAGACGTAAAGGTGAAAAAAAACAAGGAATTCACAAGTCTCGTGCCAGAAAAGCAATGTAAATGGTCCCACGTTTGATTAATTTCAGATCATCTGGTAATTAAAGGCGTCTCTCTGTAACAAATAATACATAGAAGTCAGCCTCGTGCCAAGCACCTGATTTCCGGCAATCCCTGAATCGAAATTGTGCGGATCTCGCCTTTGTTTTCACAAGGTAGCTCCAAATACAGACCCACATAAATCTGTATTTGGACTGTGGCTCAGCGGGTGAGAGAGGAGGGCTCAGGCTGCCACACCATAATCACAAATACAAACAAACAAACAAACAGCGGACAGCCCGGTGGTCTTTTATAAATGGTCCCTCTTTTCACAGTGCACAGTAAATCTATGTGTCCAGTGTGTTTTGGGGAGTACACATACGGGCATATTAGTCTCTGTGTGTGTGTGTGTATTTTTATGTGCGAGTGTAAATTATTCAGTGGATGTAGGGGTTCAAAGACAGGTTGATTACTTTGGCCGGCCATCAGTTAGATGAGGTGAAGGCCCGTGGCAGCTGCTGCGTTGGTGGTGATGACGGCGAGCGTGTCCAGACCACACGGCTCTCCGGCAGCTGTACTGACCCCAGGTGGGAGACTCCGGATACTGCAAGAGGACAGCTGAAAGGGTTGTTGTTGCATTTTCAAAAAATGTGACTGCGTGTCACTCTTCCTTCGCAGAATGCTCCAAAAACAGATTCTTCTCCTCGCTTCTCTGGCTGGTCTCATTAATCTTAGAACCTTTCACCAGGAAACATCCATTCTGCCGTTGGTCACAACTCCCATTAGCTGTAATTCTTTTTCTTATATATCAGTGGCAAACAATTTTGACCTTCTGAATGTTAGACTGAGTCATCAGCAATTCAAGAATTTTATCTCCAAATGCATTTTTTGGTACTCTGGTTGGATTGAAAATGAAACATTTCACTGCTGATAAACATGCTTATAACTGTCAAAGTGTCTTTTTAAGTTACATTGACATATGCTTTTAGATTATGTTTTTAACCAAAGCTTATTACAAGAGAAAAAAGGAAAATCAACACTTAAGTAAATTTTAAAGAATACTAAATACAGAACATTCTGACATAACCCACATATTGACCACTGAGGTCAGGCACACTGAATTCAGCTTCAATTCAAGGCTGAATTGAAGCTGATTTTGTTTGGTTCTTGGCATTCTTTCATTCATTCTAATCTTTGCAGTTTTTGAAATTGCATCACCCTCGTTGGAAAGAATTGTTTTGTGTTGTCTCGTCTCATCATAGTTGCTATAACTTCCTGGTCCTGTATCACTCAAGGTTCTCTGAAGCTCACACCAATAGGTCAAGGACAGATACCCTGAAAGATTTCATATCAATTTTCAAATCTTGAAGCTCACCTTTCAAAACCTCATATCGTGTTGCCCCTAAAGATTTCTCTTTAGTTATTGACTTTGCATGTACTGACCAAAGACCACCTAAAGTAAGGCTCATCTCAACAAGGCCAGTACTTTATGCTACATCTTTCCCAATGAGGTCAGGCACGTCAACAGTGTGTGGTTGCCTTCAGATGAAATAGTACTTTAACTTTATAAACCTCTATGTCTGTAACGGCTCACAATAAGCAGATACAAACTAGGCTGGAATTTCTGACAACTTCATATTAACAACACAAATAATCTGACAACCTCTTCTACGGCAAACCTGAAATGTGCAGTGACTGTTGCATGTGGAAAAAATGTCGAAACAGTTTGTTTGAAAGATGCACCGAGCACTATTCTGTGATAGGGAGGGAGTGTTTAAGGGGATGTGGGAAGTTTTAGGGCTCATGGTGGAAAAATAAATCAGATGGAACCATTGATGGATAAAGCTAATGATATCTGACTGCCTGTGTAGGAAGTGAATCGAATAAAAATATTCCCCAGCCGCCTCCAAATTGAGATGGGGGTTGCATATTATCATACTGTACATATTACACCATCAGCTCAGTTGTGGTCAGAATAGGCTCTCATGTAGAAGAATACTTAAAACCCCATGATGAGCAATTTTGTTTGACTAAGCTCTACTTTTATGAGCACTCTCTGAGTAAATGCAACCATATGGCCAGCTGGCAGGAGATCGGAGAAAGGGAAAGGAACTGATTGACAGGTGACCTCAAGAAACACTGTATAGAAAAGCTTTGTCAAAACCAGAAACTCATACAGCGCAACATTAATGTCTCTAATCTGGGACATACTGGGACTCCTCACTGTGAACACTTACTGTCATTTCAGTGTGTCTTGGTGAGTTGGTTCTCATGCCGTAACAGAGGTCGGATAACATAAAACAGGCTGATTTTGGGACTTGCACACAGATCTTTTAAATTAATTAATCCCTATTAAAGTGTCTGGTTTGACTTCTCCAGTGGGAGCGCATCGGGGTCAGACTGAGATGGGTTTTTTGCCATCTGCTGTGACATGCAGTATAAGCAAACGCTTTAGCACATGAAGCAAATTACAAACTTGTTCCAATGCTGTGGCAAAAAAAAAAAAAAAATGATATTAATGTTGTTGACAAATTGACAGACCTCTATAGGATAGAGAAATGTGCTTTCATCTTAAATATGGCTCTGTGGTCTGTGACTGTACAGTTCAAACAACCCATCTGCATGTGTGTGTGTGTGTGTGCGTGTGTGTGTGAATCAGGTGGAAAAGTGCTGGGAATGAGTAAGCTGCACACATCTCTGCGGTTATGGTCAGCATGAGGGGAGCGTTCCAAGAGTGAAAGGAACAAAAAATATCCTCCATTTGACATTAACAAGGTTAATAAATGCCGATCAGTCAGCCTCCATTTTGGAGTCCTTTGTAGAAAAATCAGCAGCGCACACTTTCCACTCAGAGGTCCGCTATACTCTGAGCTTCAGCTGCTCGGCCGCAAGAGAGCAAAACGATCAGTGGTTTAATTCTCCCAGCTCAACTATAGTTTTGACAGCTGAAGTTTTATTGTGTATTTAATACTCAATGAGAGAAAATCAAGACAAAAAGTGGAAAGGGAACAAGAGAAAATATAGGATAACAAGTTGGACATCTGGACTCAAAGCAAAAGCTGGACACTTCCTGAAATGTTCTTGCAGAGAGTTGTACAAGAAGTCTGAGATCCATCCATCCATCCATCCATTATCAATATAACTGCATAGATTGGTTCCGTCCAAATCTGGAATTATTTGCACATCTAGAGGCACATAACATTACAGTTTAGCATGATGTGAGGGAAAGAGTGCAGAAAACAAGAAAACGGTATTGAACATGAAGACATCTGTGCAAACTCAGCTTCTTTGTGTTTCAACATTTGTTTGGGGGGTTAAACTGAAACCACTCAAAAACGCGTTCACACGGCGCAGACAGACTCCAGCAGGTTTCTTTACGTCGCAACCAAAAGCGTGCATTGAGGAAGGCCTCAGTTCATGCGGTGGCTGCTGTCCAACCAGAAGAACATGAGGTCATTGTGGAGCTTCCTGTGCCAGAGAAAAATACTGGAGTACCAGATGAACTAAATGTTCTCAGCTCAGGCTTTTAGCAACGAACCACCAACAGATCCATTCACAGCCAATCAATGTGTCCCACATGCTTACAACTCTGCCTGTTGAACAAGAAGGTCCAGCCAGAGTTGAAGGGCCATGACCAACTTTGATCCTTTCAGTCAGCAAGACATGAGCTTCTAAAACTGATGCAAGAGAAAACCAGACCAAACCAGTAGGCTGCTTAAATAACACACCTTCGGGAGATAAGAACTTCAGTCGAACTGATGGTTTACACACGGTGTCCGAAAGCAAGTTTCATTACACTTTGGGAGCTTCTCTGAGCATCAAATGAAGGACTTTTCATTTCCCGTCTCATGAGAGCAGCTGTGATGGAGGCACAGCAGCACCTGGAGAACCGAATGCAGAAAATGAAGATCAGCCTAATGGAAACTTTACCTGTAATGACAGAGGCACGTGAAGCAAGGGATGTCCAGAGAAAAGAGTTCTCAGAGGGTTTGATAGACAGAAGAATAGAATTGAAAGAGCAGATGGAGAATGGCAAAAAAAACCCGCCAATCTGAAGCCACACCATCAAGTCTGACCTTCAGGCCTCTGCTCAAGTCATAGAAGTCCTGCTCTCTTCAAAAAAACCTTTACACTTTCCTCATGCAAATCCACCAATAACCCAAACCCAACTTTCTGACTTTCTTCTATTCATTTTTCCTGAACCTGTCTTAAACTTTTAACTTTTTTGTTATTTTGAGTCACTCACTCAAGTGATCTGGAATAAAAAATGCTAACAATAATAAAGGTCATAATCACTGTTACAGCATCCACATAAATACACAAAAAAAATCATAACAAATACCAGCATGTTTTACTACTTGTTTATTACAATATTTAACTTAACATCATTCCCGATTAAGTACAAAAATTCAAATAATTAAACAAAATGATTTAGAAACTGACCAGTGTGAGATTGAGACATAATGTTTAGACTTATTTGACAACTTTTGCTATCTACAAGCTGTTTTTTGTCTTTTCCCTGCAGCTGTGTTCGTGGTAGGAACTGGGAGTAAACTGTGGGAGGTACCCACACGTTCCTTCACGTCCTCGAATTTTAGTGAGAGCCTGCAATGGGAGCCCCGCTGTCAGTACCGACACCTACAAGACGTCGTGAAAACCACTGCAGACATCCCCCCGACACTGGATGGCACCTGGGTGTCTACAAGGTACACCATGCGATACGCTTTGACCACACCCTCTGCATTGTGCAGCTACAGAGACAAGCAGAATATTTGTGAAGGAGGATTCTGTGATAGTGGAACCCACAGTAGATAATAGTGTTTGTAGAAAAAAGTAGAAAAAATTTGCTACTATTTGACACGAACCAGAAATCACCATAGCAGGAAACCAGACACATGTGAGCTAGCTATAACTAGTCTTTTCTTCGAATGAAGCTTTCTGCATCAAGAAAGTGTCAATAAAAAAAACTAATTCCTCAAAATCCAATATAGCAATATAGATATAGCAACAAATGAATTTGCTCATCAGCACAAGTAACAGTTTTTTCATCTTTAAACCCTTTCTATGGTTCAGTCAAACCACTCTACTCCTCCCATGATCTGCTCTTCACCTCGAAAACTATTGCTGAGGCTCATGTTTTGGTGAAGCAGGTTGTCTATCAATGACAGGGTGATCGGTTTGATCTCATTCACTTAGCTTTTGAACTGGTCAGAGCAAACTGGGTGACGTTGATGTTCAGGTGTATCCAGTGGCCTGCCGTGTTGGGCTTACAAATCCAGGTTTTGATGAAGGATTTAAAAATTTTCCAAAGAAAATGTAAAATATCCAACCATTGTCTGCCCCGCTTATCCCAAGTAGGGTTTAGAGGCAAGGCACACCCTGGACAGGTCACCAGTCCATCACAGGGCAACACAGAGACAAACAACCACACACATCCATATTCACTCCTATGGACAATTTAGACTCACCGGTTAACCTAACATTCATGTTTTTGGATAGTAAAACTAAAATACCCAAATGAAATCAAATTCCAAACCAGAACAAGTGTTTTCTGTCTTTATACTTAGATGTGAAGTTCGGCCGGGTCCAGAGTTCCTCACCCGGTCCTACACCTTCCATCCCAGCCGTCACTTCCAGGCCCTGCAGCACTACTACTCCGACAGCGGCTGCGAAGAGCCAGCCTACTCCCTGATGATCAGGGGGAAGATCCGCCTGCGTCAGGCCTCCTGGATTACACTCGGGGGCACTGAGGCAGAACACCACTTTAGCAGGGTGGCCATCGTGGTCCACACTGCGGCAGCCAAGCAGACCCTCACTTCCAGGCTGCCTCGGGCCTGCGTGGGCCCCGGCCTGGGTCGGGCTGTTCCAGGGAAGCCGCATGAGCTGTACAACACCCGGGCAGGGAGGGGGTGTCTGGCGGCGCTGGGCTTCTCCATGATGGAGATGGATCTGGTGCGAGTGGAGACCCAGCACCACAGCTCTGGAGGGAAGGTCCAGGAACTTTTCTTGGGCGATATTCACACTGACTGGATCCAGAGAACTCAGCACTGGCCTACAGGGTACCAGCAGCCACTGCAGAGCGCCATGGTGAGATTATTAATAATACCAATTTAAGAGTAATATGGGGTCACCTCCTCGATTCTGAAATACTTACAGAAGTGATGACACACATGGTTAGGGTAGGGTTGTCCAAAACAAGCTAGTTTCTACCCTTATATTCACATTACATGTTTGATATCAGAATATGTTTTTCTTATTCAAACAACAAATAAACAGTCCAGTTTCGTTGAGTGATAAAATACAATATTTCTATGGGGCTTACTATGCCTAAGTCAAACCATTCGCTTTTCAGTAACAAACCACATCTATTAAGAATGAGGTCATATTTATAATTGGTAACTTACAGTACAATTTACTCTCGAAGCAAAGATGCCTGAGAATTAAAAGTTGTGATAATTAGGCTTTTTGTCAAGTAACTGAAAATGAATCTGCAGCAGATGTTAGGACAGAATTGATTGTTGAGTTCTCATTCTCAGGAAAACTGTAAATTACTTTCTCAACATCTTAAAGATGAAACAAGATGCTTCTTTCTGTTGATGTGGGGCAAAAAAAAAAAAATACCATATTGGAAATAAGTGTGTCGGCAATATCCTGGTTTGCAAAATTGATACATTTTTACTATGAATGTTGGAGATTATGGAAATATTCATCCATTCTCCTCCGCTTATCCGGGGTCGGGTCGCGGGGGCAGCAGTCGGAGCAGGGAAACCCAGACTTCCCTCTCCCCGGCCACTTCAGCCAGCTCCTCCGGGGGGATCCCGAGGCGTTCCCAGGCCAGCCGGGACACATAGTCCCTCCAGCGGGTCCTGGGTCTTCCTCTGGGCCTTCTCCCGGTGGGACGAGCCCGGAACACCTCCCCAGGGAGGCGACCAGGAGGCATCCTGATCAGATGCCCGAGCCACCTCAACTGGCTCCTCTCCACGTGGAGGAGCAGCGGCTCTACTCTGAGCCCCTCCCGGATGGCCGAGCTTCTCACCCTATCTCTAAGGGAGAGCCCAGCCACCCTGCGGAGGAAACTCATTTCGGCCGCTTGTATCCGCGATCTCGTTCTTTCGGTCACTACCCAAAGCTCGTGACCATAGACGAGGGTGGGAACGTAGATCGACCGATAAATTGAGAGCTTCGCCTTTAGGCTCAGCTCTCTCTTCATCACGACAGACCGGTACAGCGCCCGCATTACTGCAGACGCCGCACCGATCCGCCTATCGATCTCACGCTCCCTACCCCCATTCGCAAACAAGACCCCGAGATACTTGAACTCCTCCACTTGGGGAAGGACGTCCGCTCCGACCCGGAGAAGGCACTCTACCCTTTTCCGGTGAGAGACCATGGTCTCGGACTTGGAGGCACTGATCCTCATCCCAGCCGCTTCGCACTCGGCTGCGAACCGCTCCAGCGAGAGCTGTAGGTCCCGACTTGATGGAGCCAACAGGACCACATCATCTGCAAAAAGCAGAGATGCGATCCTAAGGCCACCAAGACTGACACCCTCAACACCTCGGCTGCGCCTAGAAATCCTGTCCATAAAAGTTATGAACAGGACCGGAGACATAGGGCAACCTTGGCGGAGTCCAACTCCCACCGGAAACGAGTCCGACTTACTACCGGCAATGCGAACCAAACTCTGACTCCGGTCGTACAGGGACCGAACAGCCCGTAACAAAGGGCCAGGTACCCCATACTCCCGGAGCACCCCCCACAGGATACCCCGAGGGACACGGTCGAACGCCTTCTCCAAGTCCACAAAACACATGTGGACTGGTT